ATGTCGACAGCGGCGTGAGTCACGGCTTCATTATTCCTCTTCAAAGCTTTCACAGTTTTCACACCAACCTTCTCATAGAAGCTGTAAAAACAAAACAGAAACACGGTCTAGAGAAAGTGAGCTGGTTGAGTAAACAGCGTGTGTTGTGGTTAAAGATAAACGTTTCTCACCTAGTGAGCGTTGTGAAACCTGCTTTGGATCCAACCTAATGTCTCAAAGCGTGAAACAGTGCTTCGAGATCTTTATCTGATATTTTGTTTTGGTCTCCTGCAAATAGACGAAACATTTTAACTATTTTTTGTACATATTGAACACCTGTGAAGGTAATAGCAGTCAGAATATGTATATTTTAGGGGTGAACACTAAATATATTTATTGGCAAAGATATACAATACCTTCGTGAGCAATGAGCATTGTGATGGCATTAATGATAAATCTTTCTTTATTCTCCGGGAAAAGTCCTTACAAAATATTTAAAATCGTTTGAAATATATATTGGAGTTTAAAAGACTTAATATTCCAGCCGTACTTCTGGCGAGAAAATTTCAAATCTACCATTTCATGGATTCGGACCCAGTCAACTCAGCAACCAGAGTTACCGCATTGTAGTCCCTAAGCCTCTTAACGTTCCTTATACGCGGCGAGGCGGGAACTGAGAGGCCTAGAACAAAATGTTTTGTATTTTGGCTATTTTGTCCCCACTTTCTGTATTGAGGTCAGTTTACGATCCACGACGCGGTTAACTGGCCTTGTTCGACGTCGCTAGTCAAATATTTGCTTGAAATAACCTGCGGGATATTAATTATACTGTCAGGACTTCGAAATATCCATACAAACGTTTCAATGTCATTTGCTGTCGACGCTATCGACTATCAAGTAAACTCGAGTCCGTACGTACATGGTTATGATTATAATAAGCTTCAATCTGCCAATTTAAATTATTCTCGCTTCCTTTATAACGATTATTGTTGTAAATCTAGGTCAACTAATGCATACTAAAATATGCAGAAAACTAACGTGCGTATGAAAAACACGTGAGTGGAAAACAGCCTTAATCCAGATTTTGACAGAACATTAAAACTCAGTAAAAATGCAATAATATTCTCTACACAGGATTTTGTCTGCAGAAAAGTACAAAATAAGAAATTGTCAACTTACGTCTTGGGTGACTGCATGAAGTAGACCGCTGTAGGAAATATTGCAGTTAAATCTCTACACATCTTCGGTTAAATTTCCTGCAAGGAACCAGTAATAAGACAATATAAGCTTTTAGAGATATTTCAAAAATTTAAAGTGAAATAAAAAGAGAAATATTTCACCTGGAGACGCAGCGAGGAATTTTAAATGACTGCTTTCTACTTCTTCGTCAACAACGTTATACAATGGACCCCAACGATAACCTTGAAAAATATATCATCTTAAAAAAACAATTCTTCTTTTGCTGTATGTGATGTATTGGACTGACTAATAGGAATACCTGACGAGAAGTGTAATTGTTTGTGTGTTATATGTGATCCCATACGTCAGGAGGAGAATGAAATGAGGGTTCGTATTTACGGCAATCATAGCAGTGCGAGATTTTCATCAGGAAAATTTTGACCATAATTTTCGCTCAATCATCTATGAAAAAGCGTACAGTCTCTTCGTTGGGTCGTTTTTACACAAACATCTCCATTTCCACTGCCTCTAACCCCGTGTAGCTAACCAGCCAATGATATATCCCTAGATTGGGTGAAATACAAACATTCAGAACAAGAAATATTTTATATAGCTTCATACAAAATCTGCTTTTTTAAACTACCTGTCGGAAGACGAGTAATTTCTCAGCTGACCGCTTGTGTATTCCAGCCCGAACAACTGAGGATGGTCTCGATAGCTAATTATTGAAAATATCTGACAGAAAAAGAAGTTTTAAAACTATGATATACTATAATACACAAGTCTTAACCAAACGGTATATTCTGGAAAGTAACTGCAAAAATAAAACTATTTTAAGTCGGCTGGATACTTTTTTGCAATTGGACATGTACAAAATGGAACCGTGAAATAAAAAAGATGATAAAAGCAGTAAACTTGAATCCAGGTCAGAAGACATGGAGTGTTTGGAGTGTTTGGAGTGTTTGGAGTGTTTGGAGTGTTTGGAATGTTTGTTTTTTTTCTTTCAAGGTCTGAGATGAACAATTACTGGAACTGACATGGAATGTCGCATGACTTACTGAGCTAAGGGGATGAAGGCTGACGATGTTGAACATATATTATAGCAATAATAGTTTATAGTTTATTATATATTATAGTAATAGAGTTGATGTTCGCGGGCATAAATGTGTTTTTGGCCCTCCTCGCGGAACACATTTTAACCCTCGCTACGCTCGGGCTAAAATGAGTTCGAAGTCGGGCCAAAAACACATTTATGACCGCGAACATCAACCCTATTGTTACATTTTAATCACTATAAAAAACACATGAGTATATACAAAATTAGTAAAATACAATAATTAGTAAATACAATAATTAGTAAATACAAAATTAGTAAAATACAATAATTAGTAAATAGATTTGAATAAATATAGTTCACCTGGTGCAAGGCACTTTTTAATGATAACTCCAAGCTTATACTTTCTAGATAATTTAATACATTCTATAGGGTTTAATGATCAATATAGGGATAAGTATCATAAAATTGTTTGGCTGTTGGGGTGTATAAACTATCAAAACTACAAAATTATATCCTGTCAAAATTTCGAATTTCTAAAATAATGCCGTGTTTATGGTCATTTGAGTTTGCTTGCTACTTTTATAACATGCAAAAAAGTAGACGGTAGACACTGATTTTAAGTTCAAATTTATAATATTTCGAAAATATATTATGCATTATTAATTATATAACATACCTTGAATAAATTTTAAGTTTTACATGATTCAAGAACATTTTCATTTGTATACCGAACTGTTTCGCCTTTGGATTTGATTCCGTTCATTAGTCAAAGTACACTTCAAGATGTCGGGCTTCCCTTCAAAATTGTCGAGGCCAGGGATATGACGGTGCTAGTGCTGTGTCCAGCCAGGTAAAAGGTATTTCTGGGAGAATATTAGAGAAAAACCCGAAGGTGTTGCATGTTCATTACTCCAGTCATCGTTTAAACCTTATTGTTGCCAAAGCGTGTTCAATTCTTCCAGTGAAAAATATGTTGAGTCAGGCACAAAATATCGCCAGCTTTTTTATCAGTTTCCCTATCCGCTCACAGTATCTAAGTAAAAAGATGAAAGAGTTTGGTTTAACCCGTAACAAGCTCGCAAAGCCTTCCACGACACGATGGGTAGAACGAATAAGATCCCGCGATGGTTGTTTGGATGCATTCAAAGTTATCTACAAAACACTCAATTTTATGCAGTTTGGAGGATCGCAGGAAGGGCCATTTCCTAGATTAGCTAGTGACGCACAGTCTCATTTTCGCAACGTGGAGAAATTTGAATTTATGGCTGCTCTCATTATCACCCAACATGTTCTGGATCATACTTTGTCATTGACAGTCCAATTAAAGAAGAAAAAAAATCGATATTGCGGAATCAATAAAACAGATTAATCTTTTAAAGGATGAAATGGCAAAACTACGTGCCTCTGTAGATTTATTCCACAATGAATACTACGACAAGCTGTTGGAATTAGCTAATAACCTCGACGTGGCTGAGTGTTTTCCCCGGGTATGTAAAGCTCAAACAAAATGTGATAATCATCGTACCAGTACAGCAGGTGGTTACAACAGATTAACAGTAACCATTAAGAGTCGTGCATAGGCCACGTGATAACGAAACATTCTGAGCTCATCAATGAACAATTGTAAAGGTTTTATTGTAACTCATAGGAAAACCTAAGGATATATTTTGTAAAATCTATTATATTACGAGTGTCTTTCCCTAAGTCTACCGACCCCTGAATTCCCCACGCTATCGTCACCCTGTAATAAATAAGTAACGTTGCAAGTCCTCACCTTCAACCACAAGGATTAAATTACGTAATTCGAAGTGCAAAATTGAGATTACCGGTTTCTGAGTTTACCGGTTTATAATGCTCAGTATTTAATAATCCGTATAAGACCAATTTATCATTATTATTACTTGACTTACGGATTCATTAAATTTATCCTCGTCTTAACTCAAAAAAGTTTTCAAAGGACTTGCATCCAGAAGGGATTTACCAGGAACAGGCTAAAATTAAACAGATGTTGAGATTAATGCACGATGATGATTCGTGATCTTAAAATTGCTACCTTTTGAAACTCTTCACGAGTTAATAAGCCTTGACTGTTCCCTGTGAAAGAAAAATAGGTATATATAGTCATATTATAATATATATTTCCTCCATATTGCAAAGGTAATTTCGCTTGCCTTCAGTTTCTTCCTTGTGTAAAACAGTGTCTTTGGAATCTGGTACGACATCAATCTGAAACGATTGTAAAATGAAAAAGCTAGTCTAAATCAAAGATCTCTTTCTTTCTGCTTCCCCTGCCAGTCATGTTAGTAGCAATATAAGGGATGGATAGTGAATGTTCTTGCACGAAGTAAATTTCATGCAAAGCGAGTTTGAAGAGAAATTCTTACCATAAAAGCGCTTGGTCCATATCTCGGACTACGACTCAAATATCGAGTTCGTTGAAGAAATGCCGAACCAAGATTCAACTTTTGCCCGGAATCTTGTAATAAAATCGACGAGGGTGAAGATCTGCCGTGTTCTGTAAGCAGCATCTTTTGTTCTGCGCTGTCTAAAATGTTGGCAGATAATTTGTTCATTTCGTAAATGCGCGAACAATGGCCGATCTGTTTTAACATTACAAACCTGATTCCTTGAGTTCGGTTTTCTTCATTTCAACATCATCCCGGGTATCTTCAATATTAGTTTCCTCATCTTCTCTACACGATGCGAGGCGATCTTTGACAAGATCTACAATCAATGTACGCTGTCTGTGCTCTTGCTAAGAAGTTCTGTTGTAGTTTCAAGGCGTTGTCTGGCTCCTTCTTTAATGAGTTCGGCCGATAAATCATCTGAAATACAACAATATCAATTTGACATTCCGCCAACGGAATGCTTAACCAAAACATTGAACAGGTTTTACCCATCGTTGACCTTACCAAAGAGTTGTTTTGGAATTAAACTTTCATAAATCTCAGTCTTTCCCACCGCTGGTCGTCACAAGATGTTTGAGTCAAAGATTTCTGTATTGAGCCTACGTCACCAGTGGGCTTTAAATCGCGGGTAAGAAGGTCAGATGCTTTGGTATCGAATTTTGTCTTTGGCACCTGGCTAGAATCATCTGCACGAGTTTTTCTATCAGTTGAAGTAGCCTGGAAATGACAAATACGTTCCTAAGAGCTTTCACTAGAAGAATATTAAAACTTGGTCGCTCTTGCAAATATATTTATTGAAAATTCAGCAAGCAATCCCCCTGGCAATAGAATGACATGTGGACTTACTTTCGTAATAAATGGCACGAATTGTTTTCTTAACAATAGCGGAGAGTTGACAAACCAGGATGAAATGACATTATCAGCAAGAGCTACAGTGTATTGAGAGTATCTAAGGTGAAACATATCAGTTCGTTTATATTTTAATCATTTTGACAAAACCAATAAAAAAGTTTCAGATGTTATCGCGTTGAGCCAACTTCGATGATTCTGTGTAAGGCAAACATATTCCAAAGACTTGTTTCAACTGGATCGCTGTGAAGTTTTTGTACAAAGCACAAAGCTGTTACAATGCGATTTAAACGATTTAAAAGAATGTTACCAACTTTTCGCCGAATACGATTGTGTGTTTACACAACCTAGCTCTCTTTAGGGGGTACATTGATATTTTGTAACAGATTTCATAATTTACGTAACTTCAAGAAACATACCAGAGGGAAATTCTAGCAGTGGTATGGCAACTTGAGACGTTGGCGAAAGTTTAGTAAACTTTTCCAGATATTGTGGGAGCAGTCTAAGGACAGAAAATTTAGTAATTATTACTTAAAAAATCATATATTTGTGAAGGAGTATCTCGCATCACAAGAGACGTTACGTTTAGGCTGAAGTTTATTGAAAAACGTTTCTGTAAATTCACTGAGCACATTATCAAGGCACGATTTCAAATATCTGCAAAGAAATAAACTTCTAAAACGCTGCAACTACTTAAATCAACTTCATTCTTACAAAGTGCTAATGGACATAAAAACGTCTCAAATTCCAGACTATTTTAAGTAGCCATACCTTGCCATAACTGAAGGCATTTCTAACATACATATGGTGAGACAAGATACGCTTAACGTCGCGAAATGAGCAACCAAGTACGCATTAGACAACACTAGACGAAATATACAACAACGTTTAAGCAAGAACAGACAACCGCTGAAAATAAAGTCACGCAGATTCTTACCTGTTCATCTTGACCAATAAAAATGTGGTACGTACACAGCTCCGTTAATACCTGCACGTGTTACAATAAAATATCCAATTAAATCATTAGTATGGTATGATATAATTATGGTATAAATTGGTTATGGTATGGTGGGATATAATTAAGGTATGATATGCATGGTTATGGTATGGTATGATTTCGTTATGGTATGGTATGGTGTGATATTATTATGGTAAGATATGGTTATCGTATGGTATGATTTAGTTATGGTTAGTTATGGTATGATATGATTATATGATATGATTATATGATATGATTTTATGATATGATTATATGATATGATTATATGATATGGTATGGTTATGGTATGGTATGGTTTTGGTATAATTATGGTAAGATATTATGATATATGCAAAAAACTGATTGATAAGAACCGTACTGGAAAAATTCTAGCGTACAAATGAGGTCGGCGCATATCGTTAGGAACACGAAATAATCCAGGAAGAAAATCGTAATTTGAAACCTGAATGCAAAGTAAAATTTTTAGTTCATGATTTTGGTGTGAAAAGTACACAACTTCACTTCCCTTCCCATTTTAGAGAAGACTGTAGATATTGAACGTAAATATTGCTCTCCAGAAAGTATCAAGTTTTTATCTTGCAGTGCCTCTGGAAAGTTCCTCAGAAGAACATCCAGCACCTCCCATTCCAATTCCTAGAAAATGAAGAAAGTTGAACTTCAATCGAAACTTAATGCCAGATGATATATTATGATAGAAAAGTTTACCTGTTGTAAGCACACAAGAATAACATTCATCGCCTCGCTGTAAGGCAGTGAAACAGTCCCGTTTGTCTTATCTTCTGCAGAACTAAAACAAAAATGAGAATGTATTACGCAAACAAGAAAAGGAATTTTGGAAGCAGATTACCTGACATACGTGGCACTATCGTCATTAACCAACATTTTCTTTCAGAACAAACAAAATACGAAGTGAATTAAACTTTTCTACTTTTGTCTTGCACAAGGCCTAGACGTTGTCAGCTCGGAGACTGAGGAAACATTGAAGAATCTTTAAGAAAACACAATGTGAGACATCATAGAAAAATCGCGAGAAATAAAATTGAATTTGCCTTACCGAAAGCCGTATTTCCGATGCACTATACGTCCGATAGCCATTGTCATAATGAGTTTTTATGTGGTACACTAATATATTGAATATTCGTTCGGCTCGTTCTTGAGGTTTACGAAACAATTTCATCTGCAAAAATAGAATGAAATTACTGAAAGAGAAGCAAGTGTGGCATTAAATTACACTTATTTTTGTTCACGAAAATAACTTCATCACAATGAACGAATATGTGTGGACAATCTCTGCATGTCCTTCATTACCTTGAACAAGCGTACTAATCCTAATACAGCCTCCTTGATGTCTTTCTACGCTGTTTCATCCTGAGGCTGCAGCAACAAAGACAAATTACAGTGATTAGATGTAATTTTATGTCTCTAGATGTTCCTACATATACCTTGCAGTCTCTATAATTACCTTACATGTTCTTTACATGACGGCTTAACGTATCGCTTGAGAGGATCAACTGGACAGTGGCAATCTGGAATTGATAAATGAAATATATATCCTTTTACTTCACTGATGCGTTTGCATTCACGACCCCCGTGTAAAACGATCCAATTTGCGGATATATAGTTAGGTTCAGGTCAGGAAGCTTTCACTGATAAGAAATAATTTTCTATTGAAGTACAGTATCAGCTCATCACGAATGAAGAGGGAAATTGGAGTGGAGAAATGAAACCGTCTGAAAATGATTGTATTGAGTACCTTCTCGATTATATGCAAAACATCGCAAACTTTCGGTGAATCAGAGGATTCAATAACATCGACCAGAAGCTGGACAGCTCGGATCCGCACAGAAATATCCCGATCTTTGACAATGTGGTCTAAATGTGGCAACACTGAATTCTCAAGTATTTCTTCCTGTAAAAAACAAGGAGTTATAAAACTAGAAAAAGATTCATAATATCGCTAATGTCTAGAAAAATGGACTAAAATTTATTCAAAGTACTAAAATTGTATACCTCATATAGTGGAGATAACGTTCCTAATATGTTACAAAGCACATTTAGAGCTTTAATTCGGTTGGCCGTCCTCTCTTCACATCTAAAAAAAAATTCCCATT